CGGTGCCATCGAGAGGAGGCTTGCCTTCGGGCGCTAGGTTGCGGATAAGGATGCTAAGGTCGGAGCCCACTGCCACCCGGAAAGCTGGCCCGGCGAGGTGGCGGGGTACACGCGGCGCGTCGAGACAGTCAAAAAGATCGCCAGATTGACCAGCAGCTTAAAATGACGGCGAATCAGATGGAAGGTCTCAAAGACCACCAGGCGGCAAAGAGGCCGTGAGTGCTGGAACTCAAGGACGCCGAAGTATGGACGGGCTACGAGGAGCGTTTCGGCGACGGCGCCAGCGACGAGCCCAGCTGCTCGGGGCGGACCATGCGCTTCGACAACTCATTGGAGGTGCATTGCGGAAGGCAGCGGGGCCAGGCAGCACCGCGATGGAGGCCATTCTTCAGGCTGCTCCACGATGCTGTGGAGGAGACGGGACAGACCTGCGCCGGGTTCCACAGGTAGCAGGCACGCGAGCTACAGAGGCAGTTTCGAAATTCATGTGGCCAACGGGCCACAGACGATGCCCGACCGCGCTGGCAGGGGGGAAGCGTGCCCAGCGGAGCGTCACGAGCAGGGCCGAGCGGCGCCGCAGCGGCGGCGGCAATGGCGGGCGTTGCGACGGTTGCCACCAGTAGCAAGCTAGGCCTGGCATCATCGGAGAGGCCGAGAGAACAAGCGCGAAGAGGAAGACGAGGGTGGCGAGCAAGGGGGCGACGAGCCGATCAGACAGCTCGCCAGGAGGCCCACCGTCCACAAGGGGGCGCAGGTGACCAGGAGGAAAGTACAGGAGTGCGTCGCAGGCGAGGCGAGTGCGAGCGCGCAGCCAAGCAAGATTGCCAGAAAAGGCCGAAGCAACGGCAGCGGCAAAGCGAGCCGAATCCAGATGAGCGAAGTGCCTGGCAATCTTCCCGAACGTTAGGCCCGTCTCCAGAAGTTCCTGACCACGCAGCCTCCAGCCAGAACGCGGGCGATTCTCCAGGCGCTGACTGGCGCCTGGCCCACCGCCGACCGCGCGCACCTCCTCCTGCAGAAGCGCCAGTGCATCTTCGGCTGCATGGCCGCCGACTGAATTCAACAATATCTTCAACGTAGCAAGCCCTTGCACCGCGTCGCCTATCCGCGCGGCGTGCTGAGCGACAACGTTTTCGCGCGCCTCGCCCTGGCTGACATGACGGTGGGGTACGAGGGCGAGAACGACATCATGAGCTTCGCCATCCGTGTGGGCGTCGCGTCAAGGCTCTACGCGATGATGACGGACCCCCCCGAGCTCCGCATACGACCCGAACGCGTTCTACCAGGCCGCCGCTGCCGCCCGCCCGCTGATCTGAGCGGTGGCGCTGGGCGCGCGTCGGGTCCGCAGCGCGGCTAGCCGAGGAAGACTAAGCGTCCGCAAGGGGACGTTCGCTCCTCTTCCTTCTTCTCCTTCTTCTCCTCCTCATCTCTCGCCTCCTTTTTGTTATGTCCTTTCTGCGCATCCTCTTCGGCGTCCCTGCCTCCTCCTCTCCCTCCTCTTCCTCCTCCTCCTTTTTCTGCTGCTCCTCCTCCCCCTTTGTTCTTCCTCCGTTGCCGCGTCCTCCTCCTCTTTCCTGGCCCCCCCCCCCGACGGGGACGGATAAGGCGCATTCGCGGGCGACTTGCTGCTCCCATGCGGTTTGTTGCCGGCGTTCAGAAGCCATCGGGCGGCTTTCGAAAACCCCCGGTGGGCCCCCAAGCGCCCCCGGAGTAGTCGGGTGTGTTCCTGGAAGGCTGCGCGGCCTCGCGGAGGTTGCGGGGAGCTTCTGGGGGCTTGACGATCCTCAGGACGTGGGTTGCGTAGCCCGATGTGCGTTTTGCCCCGTTCAGGTTCGCAGTGTCTGCAGTTCACCGCCCCATGCACTATGTACCTGTATGCAGACCTTCGCCGCAGGGGGCAACCCGCGGGGCAACTCGTGTGACAATCCGCGGTGCAGTCCAAAAGGCAACCGAACGGGGACAGCCACGGCACCACGGGGCCACTGCGGAGACAACCACGGCGAGGAGCCGCTCAATTGGAGGAGAAACTTGTTGTACGACTCGGCCCGAGCTGCGCTGCCGCACCGTCGCCCTCCCGCAGCGTCGCCTCGCCCGCACGCGCGACACGGACCGAAATGGAAACTGATTTTCAAGGCGGAGTCATCCCTCATCCTCCCCCTCCTCCTCCTCCTCCTCCTCCTCCTCCTCCTCCTCCTCCTCCTCCTCCTCCTAGCGCATTCGAGAGGGCCTCCATCCTCTTTATCGTAAGAATCCTGAGGGTGATGATGCTGTTGCACCATGCAGGCCGCCGCCTAAGTCGGTGCTCCTGGCCCCTCCTGGCCCCGCCTCAGCAGGCAAGGCTCGCTTGGTCGACAACGATCGGCTGCGGGCCCTGGCTGAGCGCATTCGGGCCAAGGAGGCAGCCGCATGATCGCGGCCACAGATCGGGATGTTCTGCCTCAGGCTGTCTGGTCCTCCTCCTCCTCCTCCTCCTCCTCCTCCTCCTCCTCCTCCTCCTCCTCCTCCTCCTCCTATCTTCCCTTTCCCGCTTCTGCTGCTTCTGCTGCCTGTGCTGCTGCTGCTGCTGCTGCTGCTGCTGCTGCTGCTGCTGCTGCTGCTGCTGCCGTGCGCGCCTGCCTCTGCAGAGCTGCCCGCCCCTGGATTCTTGGGCTTGCGCCGCACCGTCGACCCCTTGGGGGGCTCCTGGCAGGTCTCTCGGTGAAGTCGAAGAATAAGTATGAGCAAAGACATGTGTTTGTACACACGCATATACGAGAGCATGACCCCATGTGTGAGTTTATGTATTGTTGCGGATGGAAGTCCGCAAGGCAGACTGCAAGACAACCACTGCACACGGACGGACCACCGAGAACGTGGCAACTTGATCAAGACCGAAAGTGCACTGGTCACTCGGTGCCCCACGCCACCACCAAGGCGTGTGCCAGGAGCGCCGAGCCGCTCGGCAGGGGCCTGCTGGAGCTCCACATCGGCCCAGCGACGTGCCCCATTGGCTCCTCCTCCTCCTCCAGCTTGGCAGGTGCGACCGCCCGGGGCGCGACGGAGTGCCTATCCGCCTTGGCATCCGACTCCGCCTCGTGAGAACCGCCTCCGCAGGCGCCTGCCTGTCGGCAAACAGCGGTCCCAGCCGACACGCACCACCGGCCAGCTCGGTTGCTTCCTGGCCCCCGCTCGGCCTGAGGCTGCAGCAGCTCGTCGCGGAGCTCAAGCAGTAGCGAAGCGTCCTGGCTGGCCTAAAGGCCTACCAAACAATGTTCTAAGAACCTGTTGTGGCTCCCACGACATGTTCTTAGAACATTTCTGGCTGGGACGGTCTTGTTTTAACACATCGGGTTAATGTTCTTAGAACATTGTTGTTTTTGTTCATATGTAGAAGAACATTTTGGGGTTCTAAGAACATGTCGTGGTGGGCCTTTGGGAATGGCGGGACAGTCGGTCCCTGCTCAAGGAGCCCTTGCACGGCACCGTCCTGAGCATTGGTGCGGCTGTCGGAGTCGCCGCGGTTTTGTCCAAGGGCGGCCAGGATCTTCTAGGCCACCCCTGGCTTCCGATGGGCTAAAATAGGGGAACAAAAAGTGACATAAACATAAAATCTCGGAGGTCCGCGCGGATTTCTCGGATCGGCGCTGGGGGCCCCCGGCGGCGCCTCCGGCGCCGCCCCTGGCGCGCTCCGCGCGCCAGGGAGGGGGATCCAGCGCCGATCCGAGAAGTCCGCGCGGACCTCCGAGTTTTCATGTTTCTGTCACTTTCTGTTCCCCTATAACAAGGCGCGCCGTCATGCCCAGTGGCCCTCCGATCCTCAGGGACGGAAGGTCCGCCTCGGCTACGCAGCGCCTCGGGGACTTCCTCCGACGCCGCCCAGCACCCGAGGCCGAGAGATCGCCCTGCGCCACGCAGCGTGGTCTCGACTCGCCGGGGGCCTCGCCGCAGCCACGCTGCATCTCCTGCCGCCCGCCGCCGCCAACCGCCGCAGAGGACGCCGCGGCACCCGCCTGCCGCATGTGCCATCTGCGGTGCCCGGCGGCGCGGCACGGCACGGATGCCTCTCCCAGTACAGCTGCGAAGAGTTTTGCCTCCTCGCGTGGGCAAACAGTTGAACAATTTGAAAACCAACTGTCTGCGCACCAGATGACACTCGTGCCCAACTTTCCAATCGCTACGGGGAGGCGGAGGTGGGGAGGAGGAGGAGGAGGAGGAGGAGGAGGAGGAGGAGGAGGAGGAGAAGGAGGAGCTCTCCTCGCCTGCACCCAAGGGGGGGAAAGGAAGAGCGATGAGGACTGCGGAGGCAGGAGCAGGACGAGGACGTGGCAAGTTTGTGTGCTGCTCGGAGTCCTGACCCACGGAGGTCCTCGCGGTCCCTAGAGTTCCCGGAGGTCCCTGGGAGCCTCTGGAGGCCCAGCAGGGGCAGAGGCATCATCCAGACAACGTGCCGCGATCTTCGGGGATCGAAGGCTGAAATTCAGGACGATGAGGAGGAGTTGGAGGAGGAGTTCGAAAAGGAGTTAGAGAAGGAGGAGGGGGAGGAGGAGGAGGAGGAGGAGGAGGAGGAGGGGAGAGGAGGAGGAGGGGCAGGGGGGGAGGGAGGGGATATGAGGCAGAGGAGAGGAGGCGGAGGGGAGGAGGGAGCAAGCATGAGGACGATGAAGGAGGGAGGCGGAGGAGGAGGAGGAAGGGAGGAGGAAGAGGAGGAGGAGGAGGGGAGGGAGGAGGGGGGGAGGGGAGGAGGAGGAGGAGGGGAGGAGGAGGAGGAGAGGAGGGGAGGAGGCGGAGGAGGAGGAGGAGGAGGAGGAGGAGGAGGGGGGAGGAGGAGGAGGAGGAGGAAGGAGGAGGAGGCGGAGGAGGAGGAGGAGGAGGAGGAGGAGGAGGAGGAGGGCGATGATGAGGAGCAGGAGGGGGGGCTGGACGCGGAGGAGCAGGAGGAGGAGGAGTAGGTAGAAGCAAGAGGAGCAGCAGGACGACGAACAGGGACGTGCAGGCAGGGGGGGGTCGCGCGGCGCGGCGAGGTCGAACTGCGGCCGAAGCCCCATGGGGCGGCCGTGCGTCAGGCGCCTGTCCGGCGGGCAAGAAGGTGAGGTGAGGGGAGGGCAGTGACAGGGGGAGGTGAGGGGAGGGGAGGGCCAGAAGGTGAGGTGAGGTGAGGGGAGAAGGGGCTGTTCTCGCCATGAAGGACACCCAGACATCCAACGCTACGCTTTGAAAAATGACAGCGGGGGTTCTTCACCGCTTGTGGTCTTCGGGGGCCCTCGCCAGGCCCAAAGGACCGTCACATTATCTTGCTGAAGTACCCGACCATGCGCAGCTGCGAGTATCGCAAGGCAGGTGAGGTGCAGGAGTGGGGCCACGAAACGTGTGAAGGGTGTGCCTACATGGGTGCGGTGGCGCGATGCTTTCGGTCGAGCGCCCGATGGGACCACGAATCGTGTGAGGGTGTGGCGCTGTCTCTTCAAAACGAGCACCCAACTCCACAGGACGGTTGGGAAACATCGGTTGTCAGATGTCTGGGGGGAGGGGTGCTCACCATGAAGGACAGGGGTCGTGAGGGAAACTGGTCCTGGATCCTCCTTTTCCTCCTTATCATCGTGTTTATCTTCTCCTCCCCTCCTCCCCTTCCTCCTCCTGCTCCTTCTCCTCATGTTTCCTCTGATCCTGATCTTGCTCCTCCTCACCCACGCCTGCCCTCTTCTCCTCAGTCAGCCGGGCGGCATGCACGGCTCCGCTGGCGGGCAAGGGGCAGAAGAGAGTTATCTTGGCAAGTGACCCAAGCATATGCAGTCGTGAGCACCGCGGTTGTGAGTATGGTTGTTGCTGGAGTTCCTTGTGGGTGCGTGTGCCAGAATGGGTACGGCGGCGCCACGCCCACCCTCCCCCAAGGGCCTTTGGTGGAGCTCCTTATGGGGCCACGGAACGTGCGAGGGGTGTGCCGAAAAGTGCGCGGCGGTACCCTGCGGGCGATGCCACTGGGGCCCTAAGTGGAGTGCCTTACGGGGCTGCGGAGCGTGTGAGGGGTGTGACGAAACGGGTGCGACTGTGCCATGCGGGCGTCCCCACGGGGGCCTCTGGTGGAGCTCCCCCTTTGGGGCCACGAAGCGTCTGAGGGGCTTGACGCAATCGGTGATGTGGTGCCACGCGGTCGCTGCCACTGGGGCGTCAGCTCCCCATGGGGCCACAGAACGTGTGAGCGGTGCTCCGAAATGGCTGCGGCGGTGCCATGTAGGCGCAGCCACGGGTGCCTTCCTTGGAACTCTTCGTAGGGCCACGACCCCGGCGAGGGCCACGCACAGGACATATGCTCGGGACGATGGTGATGATGACGGTTCGGGCTAGGATTCTGATCTTGATGATGGTGATAGTGATGTTGGTGGTGATGATGTTGATGGTTATGACGATGGTGATGATGTTGATGATGATGATGATGATGTTGATGATGATGTTGATGTTGATGATGATGTTAATGATGATGATGATGATGATGGTGTTGATGATGATGATGATGATGATGATGATGATGATGATGATCATGCAGATGCTGATGACGATGTTGGTGATGCTGATGATGGTGGTGATGACGATGGTGATGATGCTCATGCTGATGCTGGTGATGGTGACCATGATGCTGATGATGATGACGATGATGATGAGGAGGAGGAGGACACTGAGGAGAAGGATGGCGGCGACGACACTGCGGCTCGCTGCTGATCACGACGACGATGGTGATGATGATGATGATGAGGATGATGCTGTTGTTGTTGATGGGGATGATTATGATGATGATGATGATGATGATGATGATGATAATGATGATGATGATGATGACGAGGAGGAGGAGGAGGAGGAGGAAGATGGTGATGGTGATGGTGGTGGTGATGGTGATGATGGTGATTGTGATGGCGATTGTGATGGTGATTGTGATGGTGATGGTGATGGTGTTGTGGATGGTGATGATGATGACGATGACGATGCCGATGATGATGATGATGAATTTGCTGATGATGATGCTGATGCTGATGCCGATTACGATGATAATGAGGATGATTATGATGATGATGATGATGATGATGATGATGATGATGATGATGAGGATGAGGATGAGGATGAGGATGAGGATGAGGATGAGGATGACGATGACGATGACGATGACGATGAGGATGACGACGACAATGGTGAATGATGATGGTGATGCTGACGATGATGATGATGATGATGATGATGATGATGATGATGATGATGATGATGATGAGGATGAGGAGGAGGAGGAGGAGGAGGATGACAATGATGAGGGATGAGTGATACGGTGATGGTGATGATGGTGGTGTTGAGGATATGCGGATAGGAGTGGCATGAATGGGAGGAGGGCAGGAGGAGGAGGAGGAGGAGGAGGAGGAGGAGGAGGAGGAGGAGGAGGAGGAGAGGATGCGGGGCGCTGTCTTTTCAAAATGAGGACCCAACACCACAGGGCGGTTGCGAACTGTACAGACCATAGACATTCGGAAGTTTGCGCGGACCTCTGCGAATTCGTTGTACCAATCTTGTTTTGTGCTTCTGGACCGGGGGAAGGACAGGCGCCCTGCTTGAAACGGATCCTGTGGTTTTTTCCCTCCGTCTCTGGCCTCCCAGGGCCCTCCTCGTCCTCATGCTCGTCCTCCGCTGAGTAGCCACACTGCGGCGTCCAGCCGTCTCTGGAGGCCCACCTGCGTGATCTTGGCAACAGGCCCAACCACATGTGGGTGCGAGCACTGCAAGAAGGACAACTGCCTATGGGGCCACGGAGCGTGTGAGCGGTGTGCCGAAGTGGGCACGGTGGCACCATGCGAACCCTGCCACGGTGGGTCCTCGGAGGAGCTCCCCCATGGGGCCACGAAACGTGTGAGGGGCGTGCCGAAACGGGCGCGGTGGCGCTATGCGAACCTTGCTATTCGGGCCTTCGGTCGAGCTCCATGCAGGACCACGACATGTGTGTGCGGTGGCGCCATACGAACCCTGCCACTGGGGCCTTCGGTGGGGCTCCCTATGGGGCCACGAAGCGTGTGAGGAGTGTGCCGAAATTGGCACGGGGGCGCGATGCAAATCCTGCCATTGGGATCCTCGGTCGAGCTCCCTCATGCGAACCCTGCTACTGGGGCCTTCGGTAGGGCTCCCTATGGTGCCACGATGCGTGTGAGGGGTGTGCCGAGATGGGCACGGTAGCGCCATGCGAACCTTGCCACTGGGGCCTTCGGTGGAGCTCCCTACGGGGACGCTTAAAACGTGTGAGGGGTATGCCGAAACAGGGACTTGCGGAGGGCAGAGGCAAGGATGGAAGGAGGGGGCAGCGGAAGGAGGAGAGACGCGGGGCGCTGTCTCTTCCAAACGAGGACCCAGCACCACAGGATGGTTGGGAAAAAGACGTGGCTTTCTCAGGAAAAGGCAGCCCCAGGGGTTGGGGCCAGGGACGGAGAGGGGCTGAGAGAGGGGGAGACGGGGGGGGGGCAGGGGGAGAGGAAGGGCGGACGGAGCGGGGAAGGGAAGGGAAGTGGGAGGAGGGCGACACATAGGAGGGAAAAAGGCCGAATCGCAAGGAAGGTGGGTGCGAGGAAGACACCGAGCACCACCGGCGACTGACTAGACCCGCTGAGAGGCAATGCCGCTGGCCAGGAGACCCCCGACGGGCGCAGAGCTCGAACCCGAGGGAACCTTCGTTCCCCCCCCCCCCTGGCACGGACGGGAGCCCGCACCGACTCGAGGGACAGCCAGGAGGCCACTCCCGAAGTGACTGCTTGCAGCAGGAGCGGAGCCGACGGCGTGTCAGCGACCGCTCCGGGGGCGAGAGCCGAGGCCAGCGCCCGACGTGGCGGCCGGGATTCCGAGCCAGGCGCTGTGCCCAGACGTGAAGTTCCGTGGGACGGCGGGCCCTTCGCGAGCCTGCCGCGGCCGCTCGCGCCTCTGCGCTCGTCTCCGGGGCGTCGGAGTCGCGCGATGGCCATCCCCCTCCTCTCCCTCCTCCTCCTCCTCTCCTCCTCCTCCTCCTCCTCCTCCTCCCTTCTCTTCTCCTATTCCTCCTCCTCCTTCTCTTCTCCTTTCCTCCTCCTCCTTCTCTTCTCCTATTCCTCCTCCTCCTCCACCCTCCTCTCCTTCTCCTCTCCTCCTCCTTCCTCTCTTCCTCCTCTCCTCCTCCTCCTCCCTCCTCCTCCTCCTCCTCCTCCTTCTCTTCTCCTATTCCTCCTCCTCCTCCTCCTCCTCCTCCTCTTCCTCCTCCTCCTCCTCCTTCTCTTCTCCTATTCCTCCTCCTCCTTCTCTTTCGAGGTGGGAGGCTCGCGGTGGCAAGGCCGAGCCTCCAGCTGGGTACTTGGAACGTGGAGGGCCTCACAGAAGCGAAAATTGTGGAACTGCAGAACCACATGTTTGAATTGGACATCGACGTGTTATGTTTACAGGAGACACACAAACCTAAGTCGGACTACTTGGTCACAGATGAAGGGTACCTGCTGGTGCTTTCAGGTTCTCTGGATGATAGCGAGAGTGCCGGCGTTGGATTTTTGGTTTCGCCACGGGCTCGACGAAGTGTCGTCGGCTTCCGCCAAGCGACATCGAGAATGGCATCTCTCAAATTCCGGGTCAAAGGTGGCAAGATCGTGATTTGCAGCGCGTACGCCCCCCACAGCGGGAAACCGCCAGAAGACAGACAGCACTACTTTCAAGAGCTGACGCAATTCATCGGGTCGCTGTCTTGCCATGGGCCGGTGTTCCTGTGTGGCGACCTTAACGCCGGGCTGCATTTCCAGAGGCCCGGCGAGGAGGCCATCATAGGAAGATATGTTTTCGGCAACCCTCATGCGCAGCACAATCCGGAGTCGAACAGGTCTCTGCTCGCAGAGCTCTGCTGCACAAGGGAGTTCGCAATTGCCAACACGTACTTTGATGAGCCAGCAGAGCGGCAGATCACTTGCTACGATATTGGGTCGTCCCCAGCAAGCCCTACAACACACAACCACTTCGGCCAGATAGACTTCATTGCTGTTTCCTCTTCGTGGCTAGGTTCGGTGCGCAGGGTGTGGAGCGACAAGTCCCGAGCACTTGCTTCCCATCATTTTCTTGTCAGGGCGTCTCTCACGATGGAGGTTCCGAAGACGGAGCCCCGCGAGGGCCGCAAGAGAAAAGATGTCGCTGCTCTCCGGGAGCCGGACGTGGAGCACACCTTCGCGGGCGCGCTCTGCGCTCACATGGGGCCCATAGTTGGGTGTCCCGAGAGTGCGCAAGAATTGAACGAGAAGATGGTCGGTTCTCTGCGCGCAGCAGCTGACGAGACTCTCCCGGAGGCTCCGCTGCGCCCGAAGAAGCCGTGGATCTCGGGAGGCACGCTGGAGCTCCTGCGCCAGCGCAACCTGGCACGTTCGAGTTGCGACGTGGAGAAAGAGAGAGACCTGCACAGATCGCTACGTGCATCCGTGAAACAGGACCGGTCGAAGTGGCTAGAAGAACAACTCGCGACGGGGGACTGGTCGCAGGTGCGGAAGCTCCGAAAAGGCGTCGCCCCGAAGCAGGGCCGTCTCCGAAACGCGGCCGGGGAGCTCGTGGACTCCGACTGTCGAGCGGACACGTTGGCGGAATATCTCAGCCAAGTCCAGTGGGCCGTGAGGCCGACTGACGCAGCTGTGGCCGACGATGCCCTCGGCGCCGAGCTCCCTGTTTCGTGTGCGCCCGTGTCGGAGGAGGAGGTCGTCCGGGCGGCTTCCAGATTGCGGCTGGGCAGAGCTGCTGGTAAGGACGAGATCCCGGGTGAGTTCTGGAGAGCAATATGCAGGCCTGGATCCGAAGCTTGCCAATGGGCGACTGCACTCTGCAACAAGTGTTGGTCTGGCCATGTCGTTCCAGATGGCTGGCACGAGGCGGTCGTGAGCGCCATCTTCAAAAAAGGAGACGTTTCGCAGTGTGAGAATTACAGACCGATATCATTGGTTTCTGTGGGATACAAATTATTTGCTGCAGTTCTTCTCAACAGACTCAAGATCGGAGGCGCAGAACAGAGGGTATGGAGTATCCAGTTTGGGTTCAAAAGCAAGCACGGTACAGCGGATGCGATTTTCTTGGTCAGGCGCCTGATGGAAAAGACGTGGGCAGAAAAAGACGGGCGTCTGGTGCTCCTTGCCCTTGACTGGGCGAAGGCATTCGATAGCGTCTCGCCGGATGCACTGTGCCGGGCCCTGCAGAGATTCGGCATCCCGTCGGATTTCATCAGCGTTGTGCGAGCGATCTACACGGACCGGACGTTCGAAGTCCGAGACGCGGGATCGGTGTCCAACGCTTACCCGCAGAACTTCGGAATCAGCCAGGGGTGCCCTTTATCGCCGTTTCTGTTTGCTATTGTCATGGCGGTTCTGCTCCACGACGCGAAGCGGGAGGCGACGCCCAACCTGGACATGACGCAGCAGGTGCACGAGCTGGTGTACGCAGACGACACGCTGCTCGTGGCCACCACGGGCGAGGAGGCCTCCGAGTACATGCACTGCGTGCAGCGAGCTGGACAGCAATATGGTCTCCAATTCAATTGGCGAAAATTGGAAGTTCTGTCGGTAGGGTGCAATGCGTGCATCCTGAAGCCGGACGGGAATGAAATCCTGCAGAAGGACGGCATAATTTACCTCGGGAGCTTGACTACTAGCGATGGGAAAGTCGGCACGGAGCTATCCCGCCGACTGGGCGCTGCCAGGGCCGAGTTTGAGACTCTGTCTAGGGTGTGGTCTCATTCAACACTGGACAATGTGAGAAAACTGCGCATCTTTGATGCTTGCGTGGTAAGCAAGCTGCTCTACTGTCTTCACACGTCTTTTCTGAACAAACAAGAGCTTCGCAGACTGGACGCCTTCCAAGCCAGGTGCCTCCGCAAGATTCTACGCATTCCACATTCTTACATTAGCAGGGTGTCCAATGAGTGCGTCCTGCAGCGCGCCGGGTCCAAGCCGCTGAGCAACGATCTGCTTCGCCGCCAGCTGCTCTTCCTGGGGCACGTTGCCCGGAAGCCAGGCGATGACCCCGTGAGGCTGACGGTTTTCCGGCCCTTTTCGCACGACCTGGCGCTGTCCATGTTCAGAAGGAGGAGGGGGCGACCGAGAAAAACGTGGTGTTCTGAGATACATGCGCACGCTGTCCGGGCAGCGCGGGGCGAGGAGGCCCTTGCGCATCTGTGGCAAGATTCAGTGCAGTCCATCGCAGCCTGGCACGCAACCGCCACGCGGTACTGCGATGCCCTCTGAGGCTGTTTTTCGTGCTCATGTGCGTTTTTGCACTCAGCTTCTCTCTCTCTCTCTCTCCTTCTCTTCTCCTATTCCTCCTCCTCCTCCTCCACCTCCTCCTCCTTCTCCTCTTCCTCCTCCTTCTCCTCTTCCTCCTCCTCCTCCTCCTCCTCTCCTCCTCCTCCTCCTCCTTCTCCTATTCCTCCTCCTCCCCTCCTCCTCCTCCTCCTCCTCCTCTTCCTCCTCCTCCTCCTCCCCTCCTCCTTCTCTTCTCCTATTCCTCCTCCCCTTCTCTTCTCCTATTCCTCCTCCTCCTCCTCCACCTCCTCCTCCTTCGCCTCTTCCACCTTCTCCTCTTCCTCCTCCTCCTCCTCCTCCTCCTCCTCCTCCTCCTCCTCCTCCTCCTCCTCCTCCTCCTCCTCCTAAGACCGTCTGGAGACCGAGGGGGGGCCACAGCGCCTGGCCATGGCCGGAGGCACCGCCCGACGACGCGGGGCAGGGCGCCAGAGACGGGGGTACCGCAAACGGGGGCACGGGGGACGCCGATTTCCACGCTTTGCTATGCCCCCATGTAAGGGGCCCTGGGCGCCGCAGATGGGGGCACGGTGAGCGGGGGCGTGTGAAAGAGCCTGAGCCCCCGTTTACGTAGCTAAGCCCCCTTTTGGGAAGCCCCGACACAGCCACCCGGGTCACCGCAGGAAGACCCGGCCAGCTCGCCTGGGTCAGGTGCGCAGCCGGGAACCCCTCCCCGTGGCGGCCGAGGAAGACCCGAAGACCCAACCGCCTCCACCGCCTGGTGGTGGGGACGTGATGTGCGAAGCCCCGCTCCGAGACTGCGCCTCCAATGGCCGGGAGACGGCTGGCCAGAGACCGAAGCCAGAGCCCCGAAAGCCTGTTCCCGCCGACAGAACACCGAGGGGGCGCTCCCGCAGGAGCATGGATTGACCGGACCCTCGGTGCTGGTTCGTGGCCCTCCACGGGCACAGGGGCAGTCAGAGAGCGATTCGGGGCGAACAGCTCGTCCTGGGGCAAGAAGCCCCTGGGCCTGGGATCCCGTTTCGTGAGCAGCCCTTTCTCTGGACCTGCCTGAGGATGGCGGCCATGGCCCGCTGGCGAGAAGAAGCCCCCCGCCCTCTCGGGGTCGGCGAAGAGGGCGGTGAGGACTAGGTAGGTGCGTGTGGACATCATGGCGGGGGAGATGCCCCCGTCTTCTTCTTTCAACGCGTCCTCTGGCACACCCTCGTCCGCAATCTGGCCGCCGCTGTCAGGAGGAGGAATGTCACGAAGGGGGAGAAAGAGGAGGAAGAGAAAGATAAGGAACAACAGAAGGAGAGAGAGAGAGAGACACACACATACACAAGGGGGAAGAGGATGGTGATTTTGAGCAGGAGGAGGAGGAAGGAATGGGAGAAATATGATAGACTTCTGTTCGTGATGCGTTGGCGCATAGTGTGCTCAGGAGAACCGTACGAGGGTAAATTCAGATGCAAGGCTTTCGGGTATGGGGGAGTGGGGGAGGGGGTTGAGGAGAGTGAAGAAGCAGGGGATAGAATGCAGTGTGGAGAATAGGAGCCACGCGCGCCTGCGACAGTGAACGCGCCTGCGACGGCGTGCCAAATCCCGACGCTCGGAATTCTTGAATCGGGTGGGTCTCTCGGGAGCTCTCGAGATGGGGGTGAGGACGACGACGGGAAGCAAATTGTCTTGGGTCCGCATATAGCCATATGCTTGCGATTCGGGTGCGCGCGCTTTCTTCGAGGCGCTTCGAGCCCGACCCATACTGAATTCACTAATTCCTCCAAACGATGTAAACACTCTGTCCCCTGTTCCCCCTCCTATACAACTGCCTCAGACCAGAGGGGCAGTGGATTCCAACTCGAGATGGGGGTGAGGACCGGAGGTGCGTGGACATCTTGGCCAGGGCCATGACATCTCCCAGACTTCAGTGCCCCTTGTCCTTCCCTGACCTTCCAGAGAGCTATGTTTTAGCACTGGAGGCCTAAAAACCTAAAAAACTGAGCGAAACAGCCCAAATCCAAGACATCAAATAGCTCTGGGATAGGTTTTTAGGTCGGGTGCTATTTTTTAGCCCTCCTGGAAGGTCAGGGTTCTTCTCTTCCAGTGCGTTCCCTGCCCCTCCGTCGCCCCCTCGTCCGCCCACACGCCTCCGGCCGGTGACCCGCTGACCCCCCTCTTCCTGGCCCCCCTCTTCGGCGCACCCGCAGTCTCCGGTGGGCGCAGGCATTCCGCCAGCAGGGTTCACGGGGCGGTCGTAGGCCTTTGGTTGCGTCCTCGCTCGTGGGGTCGATGTCGACGGTTAAAGTCCCGAGTGAACACATCTCTCTTTCTCTCTCTCTCTCTCTCGCTCTTTCTCTCTCTCTCTCTCTCTCCCTCTCTCTTTCTGCTTCTGTCTGGGGCTTTCCGAGTCGCTTACCCGGTGGCCCAAGCCTCATCTCCTCAGGCCCGTAAGAGCCACGACCCGTCGTATCTGGTCGCCTCTTCTGCTGTGGCTCCACGTACTCTTACAAGGTTGCAGGGTATGCGTATGTCTCGCATGGGTTCCTTTGGCTCAGGCGCACTGCCGACTCGCATCTGCTTGTCGAACCGCTGCGTTTGTCCTGCATGCGTGCTTCGCGGAGCGGCCCGGTGAAGAGAAGCGCCAGGCGCACTTCGATGATGACTCGCCCGCCCTGAACGAGGCGATGAGATCACAGGTGGAGCCGCGCTGACTGGCCGTCGTGGGTCGGGGCGCCGCGGGGACAGGTGGACCCAGTGCGGCGCCCCGCTTGGACAAAAAGGTGCTGCTCTGGCATGTGGCACCACGGCAGGCACAGCTCGGAGCAGTCGAGACGCTGGGGTGAGGGCCAGCCCAGGGCTCGGACGGGACGCGCGGTTCCTTCGGGTCCTTCCACGGTTGTCCTCCTCACGGTGCCCCTCGTGCACCCAGGGGCTTTAGAACCCCCCCCCTTCCAGAGGGCTTCGTTCCTTGCTTCGGCGGTGCTGCCGGTAATAACTTAATAACTTGATTGTGTGTGTATATTCCTCTTCGAATATTCTTATAGTGGAAACCCCCCCTGACCCCCCCCCCCGTACATAAATTCGGCCCTGGGCGCTCCCACCGACGTGAAAATCGAATTTCGGCTTCGGGAGCCTCTCCCGGCTATCCCCGGACGGTCCCGCAAAGCCCGAGGACGGCCCACGACCGCTCCAGAACGGCCCATGAGCGCTCAAAAAGATTTCAGGTTGGCTTCAAGACGGCCCAAGACGCTCCCAAAACGCCCCAAGAGGCCCCCAAGGAGACCCCCACACCGCAAAAATCGTCCCATTCCCTTCGGGAAACTTACAAGTTTACCATATTCGCTTCTGTGGCCTTCACTGCGTCCAAGACGGCCCAAGAGGCCCCAAAGATCGCCCCAGGACGACCCAAGATACCCCCAAGAGGACCCCAAGACAGCCCAAAAGGGCTCCAAGACGGCCCAAGAGAGCTCCAAGACAGCCCCAAAAGCCCCAAAAGGCGTCCAAGAGAGCCCCAAGAAGGCCCCAAGAGGTGCCCAAGAATGTCCCAAAATGGCCGAATCCCCCCAGGACGGCCCAAGAGGATCCCGGGACAATTCCGGAGAGCCGCCAGACAGCCCAACAGAGTCCCAAAAGGAGCCCCACGAAGGCCCCGACATGCCATATTATTTGATTTCCGCTAACATGCTCCGCACTGTTTCTGTCTCCAACGCCGCCACCCCGGGGGACCTCGGGACAACCCCGGAGAGCCGCCAGACAGCCCAAAAGAGCCCCATAAGGAGCCCCACGAAGGCCCCGACATGCCATATTCATTGCTTTCCGCTACCATGCTCCGCATGATTTTTTCTTCCAACGCCGCCACCCAGGGGGACATCTACGTCGCCGATGTTTTGGCTTCGGTCCAGGAGCCGACACTTTCTCCGATCGCACGCTGCCCCGTACATAGGCTCCTGCCCTCTGCCCCCTCAGAGCCCTTCCAGCTTGAAGACTCTATGAGCCATATAAGCCATAAGCCCCAAGAGCCATATGAGCTCAATGAGCTCTACGGCCACTCGTCCTCGTCTTCATTGTCGCCGTCGTCGTCTTCGTCGCCGCCGTTGTCGTCCCCCATGAGATCTACAGGCCTATCAACCCCTTCAGCCTTATGAGCCCTACGAGCCCTATGACACTCACGACCCCATGTGAGCCCCAACATCCCTATGACCCCCGGGACCCCTGCGACCTCTCTTTTCCCTACGAGCCCTACGAGGCCTGCAGTGCCCTATGTGTTCTGCGAGCCCTATGAGTCCTGCGAGCCCTAATGCCTACAAGCCTCGTGAACCCTACCAGCCCTACGACCTCAATTACCCTATGACCCCTACCAGCCATATGAGCCCTGTCGACCTCATGAGCCCTACGACCCCTGTGGCGGCTCATGCCCCTGCGACCCCCATCCGCCCTATGAGATCTACGAGCCCCGCGGTGCCCTATATCCCCTCCGAGCTCCATGAGCCCTCCATTGCCCTGTACGCCATACGAGCCCTACGACCCCAATTACCCCTACAGCCCCTACCAACCATATGAGCCCTCTCAGCCCTGAGAACCCGAACACCTACAAGCCCCACGAACCCCGTCAGCCCCACGAGACCCACGGGCCCACAAGCCCCACGAGCCCTGCGAGCATACGAGCCCTACGAGCCTCACGGGCATACGAGCTCACGAGCCCTACAAGCCTACAAGCCGACGAGCCTTACGGGCCTACGGGCCCTACGAGCCCTACGGACCTACGGGCTCTACGAGCTCTACAGGCCCACGAACTCACGAGCCCTACGGGCCTACGGGCCCTGCGAGCCCTACGAGCCCCACAAGCCCTACGAGCGTACAAGCCCCACGAGCCCTACGAGCCCTACGGGCCTACGAGCCCAGAGAGCCCACGAGCCCTGGGCGCCCTACAAACCCATCATCCCGGTGAGCGCTGCGAGCCCGACGAGTCATCCGAGCTCAAAGGCCGCGCGAACCGCGCGAGCCCCGCGAGGCCGAAGAGCCCCACGAGGTCACGAGCCCTACGAGCCCTACGCTCCCCATGCGCCCCAGTAGCCCATGACCCCTACACGCCCTTAGGCGTCCGACCCCTATTCCCCAACCAACCCAGCGAGTCCCACAAGCCCATTGACCCCTGGAACCCCGTAGGCCCCACGCGCATGGCGAAACCAGTGAGCCCCATGACCCCTCTGAACCACACAAACTACGCGCACCGTGAGCCCTGTGTGCCCACGAACACTTGCGCCCCACCCACGCCCCACGAGTCGATCGCGAGCCCTCCGACCTCATGGGCCCTGTGAGCCCCATGAGCCCTACGAGCCCTACGGGCCCCACGAGCTCACGCTCCATGAGCCCCATGACGTCCGTGAGCCGCGGCCACCGAGCAACCACTATGACCCTTCAAGCCCCGCGAGCCCCACGAGCCCCCATGAGGCCCACGACACATAGCAGGCCAAACAAGCCCCACAGTTTGTCGCAGCGAGCTTTCCAGGCGCCATGCGACCAAGATTTTAAAGGCGAAGCGAAGCGAGCCGGTAAATCTTGTGTATATATATGTATATATCACGGAGCCGTGCAGCAGCATACGTTTTTGAGTCGCCGTGGCAGGATACGTTGAGGCATTGATGCTGCAGCTGGTCTGCATGGAAAGAGCCATTGCGTACTTCGTACCGCAAACCAACTCAACAAACCGCTTATTTCGAGCACATTCCGAGTGTTCAAGACCACCCGGCGTATCTGACGAATTGGGGCAGTTGAGCATGAGTAACTACGGGGCGCCGTTTGAATCACCGCGCGCAGGCGCGTTGACAATATCAATTTGTCTTTGGCCTATCCCGCCATTGCATGGGTTTTGGGTCAAGGGCGCAGCTAGAACAGCCGCAGCCAACAACCTAGACTCAGCAATGTCCTTGGAGGGTTCCCATCGAGGGTTCGTGGGAACAGAGTCAGGAATACGGCGACATCTCACTTTCCATTTGCGTTTTCAGGCTGGTTTCTGGAAAGCCCCCCCCACAGGCAGGGTTCATTGGAATATGGTTGGGAACGCTGCAGCTCCCCAGGATGTGAGCTCTCTGTCCCGCTGCCCCTCGGCAACCGGAGCCATGATCCTAATCGAACGTCCCCCAGGAGGTCTCCCAGGAACATGGTTGACAACATTGCGCTTTCCTTCGGCGAGGGCCTCTTGGGGGACCTCTCGGGGACCTCTTGTTGTGCTGGGGACATCTGCTTTCCAGCCGTCTTCCCAAGGCCCCCCTGCGGTTTCCCTTCGGCGAGTCCGCTCGGATCCTCGGGGCCCCCGAGGGGATACACAGCACGTCCCCAGGACGACCAGAAAGCGTGCCCCTGCGACCACCTCGGGCCGCGCTGGAGCTTTGAACTCCCTGATGGTCCGCTACCGAAAATTTCCGGTAGCGCTCCGCAGAGAACGGTCGCTACCGAAATACCGAAATGTAGCGCCCAGTACCGGTATCAGAGCGTTCTGAAATCCGTTATTTCAACGCCCTCAAACGAAGATCCGGTCGCTACCGAAATTCGGGGTGCGTCGAAATCGCCACCGAAAATTTCCGGTACCAGACCATCTGGGCTGCGACCACCTCGGGCCGCGCTGGAGCTTTGAACTCCCAGCCGTGCTCCCGAGCTCCTGGAGGCGTCGGGCGGGGTGCGCCGCCGCGAGCCTCCCGCGAGCGGGGAGGCTCGCGGCCCTCAAGGCCTCCACGGCGCCGCGGGCCGCGCCGCCGCCGCCGCCCGCCCGCGGCCGCACGGCCAGCCCACCTGCAGGGGCTGCGGAAGGCATACGTTATGTCGGGCCTGTCCCCCTACGGGGGGATTTTCGACGAACAATAACAAATACCCCCAAAAATAGTCAGTCAAACAATGATCCAAAGATAGTCTGGGGACTATTTCTTGAATATCTGTTTTGACCTTTTTGGGGCATTTGGGGGTATTTTTTATTTTTCGTCGAAAATCCCTCTGTGGGGGGACACGCCCGACAGAAGGCATACGGGGGCCCGGGGCTCCTGTGCGGCTCACGTGGTTGCCTCCCCTCGGCCTCGCCCTGAGGCCCCGCCGCTTTCTCCTCCCCTCCCTCCGCCCAATTCACGCTTCGCGCGGCCCGCTCAGCCTCGACCGGAAGAGGTGCGCTCTCGACCCGCGGATCCAACAAAAATCCTGTGCGGCTCACGTGGGCCTTTTTGTTGCATTTTTGCAGTATTTTTCATTTTTCGTCGAAATCCCTCTGTGGGGGGGCACGCCCGACATGAGGCATACGGGGCTCCTGTGCGGCGCGCGTGGGCCGCCTTGGAGGCCCCGGGCTGCGCACAACAAAAAAAATGTGGTGCATGCAGAGCTGGCGTCGGCCCGGCCGGCGGGCCGCCTTCTCGGCACCACGGAGCGCCTCCGGCGTCGGGGGGGGCCTCCGGGAGAGGCACATCGGCGCGAGTCGGTTCGCCGGCGCCCCCCATCGCTGTCCCCCCCTCCTCCTCCTCCTCCTCCTCCTCCTCCTCCTCCTTCTCCTCCTCCTCCTCCTCCTCCTTCTTCGTCCGCCGTGGCTCTTTGGATCGTATTGGGCCTCTCCTTGGTCGTCGTGGGGCTCTCCTGGGCCCTCCCGTGGGGCGTCTTGGGGTTGTCCTGCGGGCCTCTGGGTGCCCGCTTGGGGCTCGGGGTCGCCCTGAAGCCCTCTGGAGGCGATCTTGGG